ATTATAGCAGACAATTATGACTGTTATCAAATATTTCAAACCTGCTAATCCAAAGGGATGGCAAAAGCTTCAAATCAATGTAGTTTTCAAAAACCCATTTCCAGGTAAATACTGCAATTCAAAGGGCAGGACAGAATATTTTTTTAAAAGCAAACTATCCATTACAGTAGATGTGGCATGTAATAGTTTATGCCTTCTTTAGATCCCATGCATCATCACATCAGAGTGATAGCGTATTTGGAAATAGTTCATTTTGGAAATGTTCCCCATAACATATTTTTTAAAAACAGTTGTTTGTAATGAATTAAAATAAAGAAAAGTGTGATATACAACATATATCTTATGCTGGACTAGTAAAGGCACTAGGTATTTCATTTTATTGTCTTTTCAATGACTGCCCAATTGAATCAACTAATTGCTATGCGCTGTCAGCATAAAACTGATCATTATTTAATAAAATACCTGCTTATTTTTAAGTCTCAAATCACTAATCATTTGTGTTTTACTATTTTTCAATTTCTTACGCTAAATTAAGCTGAATGATACATTGAAATAAATAAATATTCCTAATATTTTGTCTTGAAAGGCTTAGCACGTTATCTCCTTACATTGTGAAGTGGGATTTCCTGATGAGAAAAAAATATTTCACAAAATCTTTCATTATTATCTTGTCTTTTAATAAAACTTTTATATGTTGATATTCTTAATTTTACCTTTATTATCTTTTTGTCATAAGTCTAGAACGGAAGTGCAGGGCTATCTATTGCCCAAGTTAAATTAACCTGATAAAGATAAGATACTTATCTTGTCCAGCTCTGGAAAGATTTCAAAGTAATTAATTTATAGTAGCAACATTTACCTTTAGCAATCACCATTCTCAGTAGGCAGTCACCACTGTATGATTTCACAAGATATTGGTGATACAAACTGAAGTTCAAAACAATACAAGCATAAATAATATGAGAATGTGAAGCTCTTCTGAATTTTGGGCATTTTAAAATTATTAAAAAAATTCTGGAGCTGCAAATCTTGAATCACAGTTGTTAGATTTTTTTTAATCTACTTTTGATGCTTTAGTCCCAGCATTCTATCTGCAACACTAAGTGTCATATTTACTACAGTATAAAAAGCATTCTAATAAGGCCTTGGCCCTGTCGCAAACTGTTAGTCCCCCAGAGCCCATCATATATTTTGACAGGAAACAACCAAAATAATTAAAGAACTATACTTTTTACAATAATTCCAATCAACTGTGTATTTCTGGTATAGATTAATATTTTAAACTTCTTTAAGATTACTTTCATATTTTTTTAGTTTTCCAACATTTATGATACAGGCTGCAAAAAATGCTTATTTGGGGTTAAGTAGCCAAATTCCAGTAATAAAATATTTTCTTGTCAGCAGCTAAAGAAGGAAGAAGACGTACCCAGATCTTTTAAAAATTCCCCAAAGACTTTAAGGGAAAAAACATAATTAGTCGTACAATATGCCTGAATGTTTTAAAAAGCTGAATTGTGCAGAATAAGCAAACATGAGTGTAGCATATTACTAAATCACTTCCACTTGGCAGAAAAACTAAACAAATCATGAATCTTCCATCCTTGGTTTGTTTAGCATTCTTTCCAAGCCAGCATCCCTGGTTTGTTTCTCAATTAACAAGTCAGAATAAAACCAGATAAATTAAAAAGTCTATCTTATCATGACTAAAGTGTTCCATCGTTTTTTCAAGAATTTAAATTCAGGTTGTTTCTCCACAAGACTTGCTGCCAGAGATATGGAAACAAAATCAGGAACAACCAGCAGCAGCAAAGCAAGTCAGACCATTTTCTTATGCATCTACTTTCTGTTTCCATGGAAATGAAAAGACACAGGAAAAAATGATAAGAACGATATCCCGTTTTTTCCTATCTCAAATGGTCTTGCTATACAAACATTTGGGGGGGAAGGGAGCCACTGAAAGAACAAGAAGGAATGACTAAGAATATGGTGTCATACTTCAGCAGAAAACTGACTACAAAAAACAGCTACTGAACAATTCCCACAATCACTCAAAAAGGGATTCTCAAACTGTGGATTGTACCCCTTAAAAAATATGTGGCAGGTTACACCCACTTCCACTCTGCTGGTACTGGGCTGGGCCAAGTGTACCGGGCTTGTTTGACAGCTTTTGTGACACAAAAGGGGCTGTTACCATGGCACAAGCCCTGGGAGCAAATTCTGATAGTAATCCAGTTCTAGTTGGAAAGCCTGCCTTGCCCAGACACACCGATCACTGCCAAAATACACCCCTGCTTCACCAGGACCAGCCAACAGCTGTCTTGAACAGAAGTTTTGTCAGAGAGCACGTTCCAAGAGTTTTTGTTATGGGAGAGGAAGGTCACACAAATTCATTTCTTATTTTAGGAAATTGTGACACCACAAAATTTGAGGATCCTTGACTTAGGAATTTGTAGATTTCAGAGCTGCAGTGTTTAGGATCTCTATTTGCCAACAAGAAGGTGTGAAGAACTCTGCAAGAACTTCTATAACAGATGCTAAGAGAGAGCAGATATTACAATTTGATTGCACAAATACTCTATTGCTACTGATAAAACTCACAGATCGTGTATGAAGAGTCCCAAATCCAGTCCCCAGTTTTTTATTTATAGGCTCACAGATGAGGGATTGAAAAAGTCTACTGTCTTAGGTCATGGAGACCTGTTACCAAATCAAATCATAAACATACTAATGACGTAGTTCCAAATATGCCATTCTTATAGCTTAATAAGTATTCAAATATTTTTTTCTAATTTCTTTAGAAGAAAATGTTCTCTTTTCAATTATGCTATTACGTCCAATTGCAATAATCTTTAGGAGACATATTTTAAAAATTAGATACACAAGTATACCTATTTTTTGATCTGTTAGATTTTCATCATAACCAATTAAGCCTTTTCCATTTAATATCCAGGCTGTCCCTGTTGTTTATTCTTCATTAGTTGCTTATTGAAAAAGTTGCAAAGAGGATGTTAACCAAACAATAATCTGAAAAAAGAGGGCACACTTTTTCCCTTCAGTTTGACTTGTTCCCCAACGATAAGAAGCATCTGTATTACACAGTAAAGGTTCAGATATGTTTGTTGCTTGAAAAAAAGAAATGGTAGGTGGGGAAAAAAAATATCAAGTTTTAACTTCTGCTGTCTAACTTTCCTGAAAGTTGACTGACAAAAGGAGAAGAGTAACACAGAATGATGCAGAAAGAAGGTGTCAGGAGTTGCTTCTGGTCTTTATACTGGCTGCCTACATTCCCTTCTGAATCACTTGTAGAAGCAACTCCTAGATGGAGCTCTGTATGTAAAAGTTCATGACCCTAGAATACATGATGTAGTAAATTAGCTTTTACTCTTCTTAAGGTCTCTATCCTTACTAGTACAAATTAGAACCAAGACCTTTGCACTATATCTTCATCAGGGATAGTTATTACACAACTGTTTGAAGCGGTATATAAGTCTAAATGCCATTGCTATTGCTATTCCATTGTACTTCTATTTTCATACATATATCCTTGTTATTTGTAAGTCCCCTGAAATAATTTGTCATGCAGTTATTTGGACACCTCTTATCACAATAATGAAATTATCGTAATAATTAAAGTGAGATGTTATAGACAGTTTTATAACTGAGCAGAATGCTCAGAATCTGCAACTCCTGAGAAAAGGCTCTGATGCTGCCACAAAAGTGATAGTAGATGTAAGTCAGTAAACCATCTCAATTTATTATTTCCCCCATTAGACAAATCATTACCGCTATTAAATTGTGCTAAAAATAAAAACTAACATCATTTCAACAATATCCAACTTGTGAAAACTATTTATATGATGTTCATATATCAGGAATGTTTATGTGACCAATAGAAACATGGAATATGCTAGCTTATTTATCATCATGAAATAAAATTGTATTGAACCCAGAAAATATAGAAAGCTGATAATTCAAATAAAGCAAAAAAGAAGTAAAGCTAATGCTGAAAGAGATTGTTCTCAGATTAATTCTAAATAAACTGTATTCCCTGTCATCAGCCATATCCAGGATTTAATGAATTATTTAATAATAAAATACTATCTCCAAACTTAAATGAAATACTGGGAAAGCAAAAACAAATTCTCCATTTGTGGCAAAACTAGTCTAATCTCCCCTGATGTGGTAGCCTCAGCATGTGCTGGGATACTGTTCTCTGAATTGTTTCTAAGTCCATGGAAACATTGATGCATTCATTGTATCTAAGCAGCTGCTGAATTATATTATACATGTATGTAATGTACTCATAAATATCAAATAATTCATCTATACAACCAATTCAAAACAATCTGACAAGTTACATAGATATGTAGTAAGTTTGTGTAATGGTTCAGTTTTGAGGGCAAAAAGAGTACTTTGGAGTACTTTAAAGTAGCCACCGTATTTAAAGTAGCCAAGAGTACTTTGGAGTACTTTAAAGCAGCCACCGTATTGCTGATTACAGGGTAATCAGATGGCTCTCTGCAGCACCATCCTAGGAAAAAGACACATTTAAAAATTTGCAGACAAGTGTTGCATGTGTGTTTCCATAGCCTTTGATTACAAAGTGCTGCACAGTTTTGACACATAAGCTAAAGAGGGAAATGACAACATACCTCTACACATAGAATAAAAGTCCACCTGAAACAAAGGCAGAGGATATACAGAAGTCCCAAATACCTATGCACAATTTTTAATAGCGTGGAATTATAGCCATAACCATGAAAATGCCTTTACGTATCAAGAGTAGGAAATGTACAATTTATTTAAATGTTCAAATAATTAGTCTTATAACAAAAAATACTGAGAAAAGGCAAATTTAATATTACAGCTCATGAAACACCACAACACTTGTTTGAGTTTTCCTTAGATTATTCTAAAAAAATAAAACTTTAAAAAATATGGAAATTATTTAGTTATAAATCAACAGATTCTTGGATGGCTTACATAACCATTATACTTACTTGAATCCTCCCATTGGAGCAGATGTAGTTTCCAAGCTGAGTAATACAGAAACCCCAAGACCAGAAAGAGGCAGAGAGCAAGTAGCACGTTACGCATAAACACCAGCAGTCCCATCTTCATATGGAATAGCTCTTCTATAAAATCTGGGTAAAAAAAAAAGGTGTATTCTCAAGTTGGTTTATGTAGCATAAGGTTAAGATGTTTGATTACGACTGGAGAGACCAAGGTTCTGATCTCACCTGGTGACTTTGAGTAAGCTACTTTAATTTAACCCAGCCACCTTTGCATGGATGTTGTTATGGGGAACAACTGGAGGAAAGAATCTTATGTAGGTCAACTTGAGTTCCTGGAGAAAAGTTGGGATATACAGTAATTCTAGCAAAGAAATAAAGTAAAAAACCAAGGATGTATAAGTTATCTAAGCATGCTCCATTCCCAACAAATATAATATCCAGACATTCTTATTCATGATACCTGAGTGGAAGTAAATTTTGTGAAAAGAACAGGATGCATTTCTGAGTAATTTGCTGCTTTTCCAAACATGATTCAGAAATGCTGCTGCTAGTTGTCATTAGAATGATTAATCTGAAGAATTTGTTCACTATTGAATTGTTTCTCAAGAACATACTATTTTGGTTATTTAAAACAATACCCAAAGTAAATTGTCATGCCAAAAAATATTTCACAGAAATGACACTGGAAAATACAGTATAACCAATACCTCTTAATTATATAAATGTATATAAATTATATAATTACTTAAGCATAATTTATAACATATGTGATGTTATAACTTTATGTTATAACAACCCATTTTTCCTCCACTGTAAATATACCATAGTATGTATTAAGGTGATCCACATTTTCTGGAATAGTAACAATAGGATAAGTACTATAAACTAATGTTAAGCTATATTGACTTGTACGATGGTTGCAAAGCGATTCTCATTAGATCCTGGATAATTAGTATTATATTGCTTGCGTCACGATATAGCAAGAATACTTGTTTGCTGATATAGAAGATGCAAATCTGCTATTCTAGAATGGACTACTAACTTAATGCATGAGTCACTGTGGTTAAATTGATAAATTGTGTACGAATCACAAGGATGAATATTTTGGTGAAATTGTTTATTTGCATTATTTTGGACCAGCAACATACAAACCTAGATCAAGAGACAGAACTCAGCCACAAGCTTAGCCACATCCTGCCTTTCTCTATCCTCCCTTTAGCAAGAACAGTTTGATTCAACAATCAGGATAGAGCTGGAAGGGACCTTGGAAGTCTTCTAGTCCAACCCCCTGCTCAAGCAGGAGACCCTACACCAGGGGTGTCAAATTGCCGGCCCATGGGCCAGATGCGTCACATAAAAGCCGTGCCCACCCCAGCTCCGGCAAGGGAGAAAAAGTCGCAATATGTCACGACATGTCATGTGACAAGGCAAAATTGACACCCCTGCCCTACACCATTTCAGATAGGTGGTTGTCCAGTCTTTTCTTAAAAACCTCCAGTGATGAAGCACCCACAACTTTTGAAGGCAAGTGGTTCTACTAATTAATTGTTCTCACTGTTAGAAAGTTTCTCTTTAATTCCAGGTTGCTTCTCTCTTTGGTTAGTGCCCATCCATTGTTTCTCATCTTGCTTTCTGGTGCTTTGGAAAATAAGATGAACCCCTCCTCCTTGTGGCAATCCCTCAAATACTGGAATACTGCTATCATGTCACCCCTAGTCCTTCTTTTCTCTAGATTGGCTATATCCAATTCCTGCAACCATTCTTCATTATGTTTTTGTCTCCAGCCCCTTAATTATCTTAGCTGCTCTTTGCACTTTTTGCACTCTCAATATCTTTTTTGTAATGTGGTGACCAAAACTGGATGCAGTACAGGTAGTCTTCAACTTACAACAGTTCATTTAGTGACCACTGAAAGTTACAACGGCATTGAAAAAAGTGACTTATGACCATTTTTCACACTTATGACCATTACATAATCCCCACAGTCACCTGATTTACATTCAAATGCTTGACAACTGGTTCATATTTATGACAGTTGCAGTGTCCTGGCATCATGTGACCTTTTGCGACTTTCTGACAAGCAAAGTCAATGGGGAAGTTAGATTCACTTAACAACTGTGTTACTAGTTTAACAACTGCAGTGATTCACTGAACAAATGTGGCAAGAAAAGTCGTAAAATGGGGCAAAACTCACATAACAAATTTCTCACTTAGCTTAATTGTGGTCATAAGTATTCCAGGTGTGGATTTACTAAAGATTTATAAAGCAGTATTTAGATAACTATTTCCTGTTTTGATCCAACACCATTCTAGAAAACTATCTTAAAGTCAGCAAACCACAAAAATCCTAAAAGAAAAATTCATAGCTAAATGCACACAAATCAATGAAAGGACAGCGAGAAGTGGAAGCACTCATTCCTGTTTCCAGTTCACTATCCCCTGCAGCGAAACACTATCTGAGATTATATCTTGTAAAATTACATACTAAAATCACCAGGGTGGGTATTATTTATTCTTCATTGTGTCCAATTTAGTTTCACTATTTTATTAAAACATTTTAACAAGCTGTTCTGAATTCCACAATAATCCCCGGCCAGCAGAAGCAATTAGGGTGTTATTCATAATTTTTTGAATAGAATGTAAAATTTAGAAGGACAGTATGAATTGATTCAGGGTAATTTGAGGCATACGTTGGCTAGATATATGCACACTGTAATGCTAAACCAGAATGTGGTTGTTTGAATTCAGTTTAACATGAATTTTGATTTATGACTTAGTATGTTCTCAATCCCAAGCACAACAGTTGAGCAAACTTGAGAACAAAATGTATGAGTAAAGCCACTAGACTGAGACATATGTTGCTCTTCGCCCTACTTCACTTAGTCTTTGTTTACAGAACACTTGACATAGGAGAATGCAAGTAGGAATGAGCACTTTAGGAATTAAAAGATTCCTTTTGATCTTTCAGCAACAAAATAAAAGCACGGCTACCACATCAGCCACAAGTAGCTTCATGTCAGCTTAATTCCAGCAGGTTGCCAAATCATGGCTTCAACTTTTCACAGTCTGTTTTCAAATACCTTCTCCAAACATGTGGCAAGTGAAAATGCCATGGGCTGGCTTTGCTGAGAGCACTCCAGTTTAAAAAAAAATCTTCCATAAATAAATAAGCAATGCGGAGAGTTTCCTCCAACATCAAAGAACAGGACCGATGCTGTGAATGAGCAATTATAATCCCGTCCCCCACCCCCGAGCTCTGCTCCCTGCTAAGCATTACCCCTGAACCTCAATAATCCATTTGACCAAGTAACTAGTACAAGCCACACCTTGAATGTCTCTATGCATTGTGTATAGCCTGCTGTTGCACTGTTCGTTGCTTCCTTGTCACCAATTTGCTGGGAACATATTGCAGATATTTCACCTGACAGCCAGATGAAGCCCCCAAGTTTCAACTGGACAAATTAGAAATCTAACTTTTCCATGGATCAGCATTCAGAAAGATATAGGTAGTCCTGAACTTAAAACCATTCTTTTAGTGACTCTTCAAAGTTACAATGGTACTGAAAAAGTGACTTATGACTGGTTTTCACACTTATAACTATTGCAGCATCTCCGTGGCCATGTAATCAGAATTCAGGTGCTTGACAACTCCATGTATTTATGACAGCTGCACTGTCCCAGAGTCATGTGATCACCATTTGTAACCTTCCCAGTTGGCTTCTGACAAGCAAAGTCAATGGGGAAAGCCAAGTTCGCTTAACAACCTCATGATTCTATTTAACAACTGCAGTGATTTGCTTAACAATGGTGGCAAAAAGGTCATAATGTGGGGCAAAACAACTGCCTTGCTTAACCATGCAAATTTTCAGCTCAACGACTACCTGTATAGCCAATGCCATTACTGCAATAGTGTACCACTGCTGAAATAAAACAAAAATCTTCTAATCATAAGTTTAATAAGAGGCAGTTGCTAAAAAAAAAGGGTACATCCAAGTCTCACTATTAGTGTTGTAACCCTTTTCATAAAAGTCTAGGAAACTTATGCTACTCTCCTCAGCCATTTATATCAGTGATGGCGAACCTTTTAGAGACCGAGTGCCCAAACCGCAACCCAAAACCCACTTATCTATCGCAAAGTGCCAGGGGCCCATCAGCATTGTGATGCCCTCAGGGGAGGGCAGGGAGGCACCTCTGAGTGCCACCTCTGTCACGCCAAAACCAGGAGCGCAAAAATAGGCCACCGTGCTGCAAGGCGCAAAAACGGCCACCGCTGCATCGCAGGGTACAGATACAAGGCGCTGCACCACACAAGAATGGGGCAGGGCTAGTGAGTATCACGCAGGCACTAGCCCCGCCTCATTTGCAGCACGTGCATGCTCGCGGCCCTGTGCATGCACGCACATATGTAAAATGCTTCCCCCTCCCTTTTCTTCCAGTTCACCAATCGACAATGGTTGGTGACCTCTGCTCTACCACCTCTACTCGAGCTTGCTAGTCGGCCGCTTCGCCTTCTTTGTGCTGGGCGGGGCTCCTGCTCTGGGCGGCAGTGGCGGTCTGATGGACCTGCTGCTGGCGGCAGCAGCATGCGTGCCAACAGAGAGGGCTCTGAGTGCCGCCTCTGGCACGCGTGCCATAGGTTCGCCACCACTGATTTATAGCGATGACTCAAACTCTGATCTGACAATCACGAGGTGATCTCCCATTCCATTTTCATCAATCAAAACTGGTATGCTACCTTAGCCCCTGGCCTCCCCACGTTCACCAAAAGTCAACTAGCCAGACTTGGGCCACTCACTGCCTCAACCTGCCATCTCCCTGCCTTCACTGCCAGTCAGTTGGCCAAACAAAAGCCAATTCATCAACTCAGCTCCACATCCCTGCATTTACCACGAATCAGCTACTCATCATCTCAGTACCCATCACTCAATATTCCCCGCCAATTAATGTTTTAATTCTGAAAATGCTGGTTTACTGAAAGATACAAAGGTGAATTCCCACCTTTTGAAGTAAAAAAAAAGGAGCGTTTGTTTATTTAATTGTGTGATTTTGGCACGTTCTAGAATCTACATTAGTTGTCCACATTCACAATTACAAAAGGCTGAAGAAATACTAGTTTATATGAAT